TGATATAAAACGAGATTTACGTTTAGTGCAGTCATTATGCCATTGTTCGTAAAAGCAAAATTGCGAACTAGATAGATAATCAGCAGTGTGTCCCAATGTATTAGTCTAGGTACTCTGGAGAAACAAATCCACGGCGACTCATATATAAGAGAAAGTTTTATGTAAAGAAAGTGTGCATCACGAAAACATCCCAACCCAATGCTGCCCAAACCCACAAGTCCAACATTAAACCATTAACCCAACACCAGTCCACAAAGTCCTCCACCTCACAAAACAGAGGCAATGATGCCGACTGCAGGAGGAAAGCTGAGTCAGTGAACGAATAAGCATCTCAGCACTAGCAGGGGTCTCCACACGGCTGCTCCAGCACCCAGGGCTGCATCGGGGTAGGTCCATGTACCTTCTCCTTGAGGATGTCTTGTAGGAAGTCAATCTTGCAAGCTGAAGCAGGGAACTGCTAAGGCAGCTACATCCTTGTGCGACCATCACAGAGCAAGAGACCCAAGAACTAGAAAGGCAAGCAAGGCTCACCACCCATTTATCCCTCCGCCTTTCAATTAGCCCCACGTGTGATTATCAGCCAGGCTGGCACAATTAACTAACTCACCCAACAATAGAATCCTGTGATGGATTAACTATGTTATTGAGTCATTTTTAACTTGAGGAGAAAATTTTCCGTGGAAAGTTATCATCCACTAAATGAAATAAATAATATGCTGGTTTTATATACAACAAATATGAGGAGGTTTCAAAAAGTTTGTGGAAAAAATACCACTATCTTTTGATTTCATTTTTCTATGCATTTTTGAAAGCCTCCTTGTATGTGTGAGAGATGTGTCTGTGTACATAAGTGTGTGTGTGTACATAAGTGTGTGTGTGTTTGTGTGTAGGACATGCATTTTGTATATATAATAAGATATATGACCCTATGCAGTGTAGCAACGATGAAACATACAACTTTCCTCTAGTTCCTAAATGCTTCCTTCCCACCCACTATCATGATCCCAGTTCTACCTTACAACAAATCTGGCTAGACCAGAGCATGTACACTGGTACAGATGGGAACTAGAAACGCAGGGAATCCAGGGTGGATGTTCCCTTCAGGACCAGTGCTGAGAGTGGGAGGGTGGAGGGAAGGTGGGGTAGAAGGAGGAACTGATTACAAGGATCTACATATAACCTCCTCCCTGGGGGACGGACAACAGAAAAGTGGGTGAAGGGAGACATCGGACAGTGCAAGATATGGCAAAATAATAATTTATAAATTATCAAGGGCTCATGAGGGAGGGGGGAGTGTGGAGGAAGGGGGAAAATGAGGACCTGATGCCAGGGGTGTAAGTGGAGAGCAAATGTTTTGAAAATGATGAGGGTAACAAATGTACAAATGTGTTTTATATAATTGATGTATGTATGGATTGTGATAAGCATTGTTTGAGCCCCCAATAAAATGATAAAAAATAAAAGATATATGACCCTAAAAATAATATATAAAGAAAACCAAATCACATCTTCTAGGAAATTATGTATTGGAAGTGGTTTGGCCAGTGTTCTTAGGAAATTAGAAGAGAAAAGATAATTCTCTAATTATCCTGTGGAGTGTTGCATTTAGACAAAGTTTTGTTTATTTCCTACTTTGCTTCTTTTTCAAGTTTCTTTCTATTAAACTCGTATTAATTTTGAATCAGGAAAATAACCTTCGTTCCTCCCAACTTTCTGCCTTACTTGATTTGTTGTTATTCTCAAAATCCTCCCAAGAATAGATACCACCTGCTCATATGAACATAGATTCTCTTCTCTGTATCTGTTTCCATCTTGGCGAGATGAAAATGATAGACGTCTAACATGGTTACCGTGCAGGGATATTGTGAGGATAAATCGAGGTAAAGATGAAAACATGATTTGGAAGGAAAAAATGTAATAAAAATGTAATGAGTTGAGGTCTGTCGACATCTATTTCTCAAGCCAGTGCATTAAATAATTTTCGGTGACTACCAGGCCTGGGCATTGTGCCTCAGATTAAATGATACCGCCTATAAAGTATCCCAAACCTTAACTCACTACAGTCAAGTCCATTCTGACTGATAGCCACCGCATAGGGCAGCAGACACCTGCTCGTTCAGGTTTCCCGCACTGTAAGTCTTTACAGGAACAGACAGCCCCGTCTAACCTTGTGCTTAGCAGCCCAGGGCTTAACCCACTGGACAAACAGGGCTCGTTGGATAAAGTAGCAGTTGATGAAACATATTAAATTAATATCAACTGCATAATAGTGCTAGCCAATAGAACTTTCTCCAGTGTTGAGAAGGTTCCCTGTCTGTGCTGTGTGGTGTGCTAGCCACTGGCCAAATATAGCTTAGAGCACATGATACGTGAAGGTGTGACTAAGGAGCTGAACTCTTCCATTTCAGTGAATGTCGATGTTTTAAGTAGCCACATACGGCAATGGCTGTTGTATTGGACAGCACAGTTCTGTGAACTTGGCCTACTGGGAACCACCTACCTTTTTGCTACTGGTCACTCAACTCCCAGCTACCATTTCACAGATGAGAAAAGTAGCCCAAAACGAGTGAGAGTGATAAAAAAACACTTAAAAAAAAAGTTTTTCAACAAAAAGCAGTTGCCTGTGGCCAATTCTGACTCATGGTGGCCCATGTGAGCCAGGTAACGCTGTACTTCATAGGTTTTTCAAGACTGCCCTTGTGGAAACAGATCGCGCGCCTGTCTGCAGAGGCATCTGTGCGTGGATTCGGCCAGTAGCCAAGTGCCTAATTGTCTGCAGCTCCCAGGGCTTGCCGAGTCACCATTCTGGATCCAGGAGTCACACCTACCTAGACTGATGCCAGAGTCGGCCCTTCTCCCCACCACGCTGCCGCACTTCCCACACATAAGGCAGGGCTTGGGAGGCCGTGGGTCCTGGGCAGGTGGACATGACCTGCTGCAGGGAAGCCGGGAAATGAGAATGAGAGAGGACTCTGTCTAGCCCTCCCTCTTTCTCAACCTGCTTCACACTCTGTGTTCCCCTCATCAGGCCCATTCCTCACCAGGGCCCATGAACCAGGAGAGCAGACTCCTCAACAAGGTACCAAGGAGGCTACCCCTTTCTCAAGGTGCTGACTTGCATCAAGCGCCTCACCGAAAAGAACCCAGAGCCCAGTCTGTACATGGGCGGGAAGGCAAATTTGCCGAGTGCATTTGAAACCCTTGAGCAACCTTTAATGTACGCTCCAGGATGTGACAAATGAATGTCTGTGTCAATCAAGCAGCGATTCTGTGAAGGGACTAATGGTTGCATGTGACTCGCACAACAACACACATGGAAGCCACTGCTCTTGTTTCCCATCAGGGTTTTTAAAGTTCACTCTCATAACTCTGCTCCCCTTGACCTGGCTCACTGATACCTACGGGAGATCAGTTGGGCTAGTTGAGTTCTAACTGGACACCAGCACCTTCCTCTTCGCTCCAATGCCTCGTCTACCCTGCTCCTCTCTTGGATTGTTCATTTCGTAAGCATGCAACAATTTCCCTTTGGATAATAACGGACTGGCTTAGCTTAAAATACTTTATTCCGGTACAGACCACTGAAGGGTTGTGGTGGTGCTTAAGTGTTTTCACTTGGAAGCTTTCAAATCGGGTTTATTGTGGGGAGGAGATGAGCCAGTCAGGGTGCAGGGTTGTAATGATGAAGCATATAACTGTCCTCTA